GAAGGGGACTTGGGCCCCTGGCTTCTGAGAACCAGTCCTCATTAAACCAGCTGCCTCTCTTTAGTAGACCACACACACACACACACACACACACACACACACACACACACACACAATAGAGCAGGATTGTGTTTGGCAAAGAAGGTAGGAGTTGGGAGGGGTGGGAGAGCAAGCACAGGACCCTAAGGCAGGAGACAGAGCTTCTGGTCCCAGCTCTGCCAGTTACCTGCCAAGGGGCTTAGGTCAGGTTACTTCCCACTCTAGGCCAGTTATACTCACCCCTACAACAAATGACTAGGCGATGGGTGAAGGGCCACCGCTCCCCTGATCCAGTCCTTCCCTGACAGCCTCCTTCCCTAACTCTTCCAGTGCTTTTCCTGCCCAATGGCATTATTGTTCCCCCTCTCCCCAGAGTTACCTGCTCTGTGGAACTACCTGTTGTACCTGAGAGCCAGGCCCCTCCTTTCTGTGGTTTCACAGCGGAAATCCAGACAATGAAAAGTAGGGCAGCTTAAGAAAGGGCTGGTCACTGAGCTGAGGGCCCCTGCCCAGACCTTCTCCCTGGGCCGCTAGATCTGGAAGGGGGTCTCAGAGATCAGCTCTGCTGCACCCCTGGGTTTATAGATGGGGAGGCGAGGGCCACAGAGGAAAGTGATTCAGCCGAGGTCCCACATGAGATTGTTCTACCCTCTCCCTCACTTGCCCATCACTAGAAGGCTCCCTGAGGCTGGTTCATTCGTTGGCCCCCTTCCAATGTTCTGCACCCTTAGTGCCCGCTTCCTCATTCCCCATTCCGCAGCCGTTTTACCAGCAACTGAGCAGCAGGGAAGCCATTTCCCACTCTCTGGCTCCTGGCTTCTTCCCACTAACTGAGCTATGAGTGAGGGTGGGATGGGAAAGGCAGAGGGGACAAAGGCCTCTTCCTCAGAGAGGGACACCCCCAGTGTGGAAGGTCTGGTTCTGAAAGGTCATACCCCTGCCCTTGGTTCCTTCACCGCGGGCACTCTCTGGAGGGCTGGTGTCTCATAAGGCTTCTGATATCTCCCCGCCTCCCCATCCCTGGCTCCTTGCTTAGATTTGTGACACAGACTATGTGCAGTACCCAAACTACTGTGCCTTCAAAAGCCAACAGTGTCTGATGAGAAACCGGGATCAGAAGGTGAGCTCGTCACCACGCCCCGCCTCCTCCCATCAGCCCTTCTAAATCGGTCACCTTGGTGGGGTGTCTTTTCTGGGCCACCCCCTTTCCCCTGCTCCACACAGCTGGGATGTGGAGAGCAGTTTCCTACTCGCCTCTCAGGGCAGAGGCCTCCACCAGAGCACTTGCTCTCCTCCACGCTCCCAGCCTTGGAGTAAGCAAGGTGCCCCAGCCAGAGGTGTCTGCAGCAAAGCTTCAGAGGTGAAGGCCCCGAGGGCACCACAGGAAGAACCTCCGCTGGGTTGGGAACTAGATGTTGAGGTTGCAGTCTTGCCTCCTGCTCTTACTCACCAAGAAGTCTGGGATAAGTCACTTCCTCCCCCAGCCTCAGCCTCCTGATTTCTGAAAGGGGGAGGGGCCACTTGGTATCTCTTGCAGCGGAAAAAACCCACAGCTGAGTTGCTTCCTTCCCTCTACTGCCCTGTGCCCATGCCCGCCTGCCTCTGGTTCTTGTGGGACTTCTGACACCTCCACACTGCTGGCTCCTTGCTCTATAACTCACATTGTGTGTGTACCTGATCCCCGTGTAGATATCCCGTATGAGATGTCTGAAGAACGAGAGTTACAATATCTTGACCCCCGCCAGAAGCGAGGACCTTGTGCTTCGATGGAGCCAGGAGTTTAGCACCTTGACTCTAGGCCAAGCCGGATGAGCTGGGATTCTTCCTGTCTCCACCTCAACCCAGACTGTCCACATTCTCCATTGCTTTCTTACTCCATTGGCCATCAGTTTGCGTCCAGGCTGCCCCTTTTGTGTCTCTTACCTGGTCCCTACCCACGTTTTCCTTGGGTTGGGGCAGGAGTCCCTGAAAGTGATGGAACTCCACCCGCCTTAAAGAATGTCTTTGCATAAAGTGTTTATTTTCAACCTCTGTGGCCCATTTTGGTTATGATCCCATCCTCAGCACTGCCACAGTGCCCCATGGGGATCAACTCACCCCCCTCCCTTGCCCAGGGGCTTATGGACCCATCTATAGGAGAGAGAATCTCATGGGAATGATGCTCAGGGAAGCAGCCATCTGCTGGAAGAAGAGGCCCTGAAAATCAGGGAGTTGGATTAAAGAAGACCATGGCTGGGGCTCAGGGATCCTGTGGGCCAGGAGGGCATGTGTCTTCATCTCTGAATGATGTTCCTATTGCCCCCTCTCCCTTCCTCTCTGAAATATAAAATATTTTTTTAAGGGTGGAAACATCTGGGGCCTGGAGCTCAGGAAAGCTTTGATTTGACATCTAGTAATGTGCCAAATGGTCTCAATGTTGAAGTGGTTGTGTGTAGGCAACATACTTTGAGATGTGACTTCAGCATTGGCCTTTAATAACTTGGGATATCCCAGAGTATGTTCTGGGGACACACATGTTTGGGAAACTGTACAGTCTCTCCTATAGGTTTACAGTGATTAAAGCATTAAAAACAAACAAACAAACGAACTATGCCCCTGGCCAGTGTTGTTCAGTGGTTGAAGCGTTGGCCAGAGTACTGAAGGGCCTTGGGCTTGATTCCCAGTCAGGGCATGTAACTGGGTTGCAGACTCAATCTTCAGCCCCAGTCAGGCATGTGTGGGAGGCAGCCCATAGGTATGTCTCTCATATCGATGTTTCTCTCTCACACACACTAATACACACAAATGGAATAATATAATGCACCTCTATGCTTCATCCAGCTTCAATTAACACACTAGAGGCCCGGTGCATGAAATTCTTGCAGCGGGGGACGTCCCTCAGCCCAGCCTGCACCTTCTCCAATTTGGGACCCAACAGGAGATGTCTTACTGCCGGTTTAGGCCTGATCCCAGTTGGCCTGATCCGGTTTAGGCCTGATCCAACAGTTGGACATCCCTCTCACAATCCGGGACCGCTGGCTCCCAACTGCTTGCCTGCCTGCCTGCCTGATTGTCCTAACCACTTCCCTGCCAGCCTGATCAACGCCTAACTGCTCCCCTGCAGCCCGATCGCCCCCCAACTGCCCTCCCCTGCTGGCCTGGTCGCCCCAAACTGCCCTCTCTTGTTGGGCTGCTTGCCCATGCTGCCCTCCCCTGCCGGCCATCTTGTGGCTGTGGGTGCCACTATCTTTGAGGGTGTGACAGTCAATTAGCATATTCCCTCCTTAGTGGCTGTGAGTGCTGCTATCTTTGCAATGGTGTGAGGGTCAATTAGCATATTCCTTCTTTATTAGATAGGATGGTCAATCTTTCAGTGGCATGTTCAAGGCTCTGAGAAGCCCTGTAGTAGAGAAACCTGTTTAAGCCAGCATTTTCCAACCTCACTTGACCACAATATCCTTTTTCACTCACCACTCAAAAACTTGAACTTATTTTTGTGTACTCAGTATGGACAACATGTCCAGCCCTGCTGATAGAGAAGACAAGGGTCTTGGCCAGGGTACAGAAAAGAGGGGCTGTCGTCTAAGCTCTCCCCAGCCCTCCGGGCCCCCAACCCCCAGCCTAGGAAAGAGACAGAAGCCAGGAGGAACAGCCCAACCTGGTGTCAGCTGTGGTGGAGAGGCTGTGCACACTCTGCAGTGAGAGTGGGCCCAGCAGCAGCCCTGACACGCAGAGGGGCCCGAGGCAGGCGGGGAGAGAAAGCCACAGGTGGCAAGAGCAAAACCACCTGCGGGGATCCAAAAGAGAGACACCCAGAGGGAACTGGAGAGAAAATCGAGAGGCTGGTGATTAGTCATCGAGTCAGGGGTGGGTGTGCCCGTTAGGCTTCCCGGAAACTGTGGGGAGTCTGTGAGTGATGGGCGGGGGGGAGTCATTAGTTGGCCCAGAGTTGGGGCTAGATAGACTAAGTGCCATTATCTGCTGGGGTTTCGTCTCTGGCCAGTCTGTGAAGACCGCTGAAGGCACTGCTTCCTCCTCTCTCTCCCCGCGAGTGGAGTGAGAGTGCGGGGTTGGGTGAGTGCACAGAGCTGGAATCTGTTGAGATCTGCCCAGGTGGGTGTGTCCCCACCCGCCCCAGGAGCAGGTCCTTCCAGCCCAGCCCAGTGCAGAGCAGTCAGCGGAAGCCAGCTTGGGGCAGCGGCAGAGCTCGACGGAGCACAGGTACGGGGGTGTCACAGGTGGGCTTGAACCTCATGGGGGCATTAGGGGCGGCACCCCACTTTTAGAAATGGGGGATGCGGGTAGGGGCAGAGGAGAGGGTGAGCCACGGGCCCCAGAAAACCTTTTGAATAGAGTAAAAAGCTAAAGGGGCTGCCTCAGGCAGAGAGACCTTCTCAGACAGAACACACCTTAGGGTGCCCCTCTGAGGCCCGAAGCCCCACACGGGGGCATCTTGGAAGGCTGTGTTCTCCCCTTCACCCGTTAGGCCCACTGTCATGCTGAGCCCAGGCTTTCCAAGACCAATGAGGAGGGTCCTCTGGGGTTGATTTCCAACCTTTTCCCATCCTCAGCTAGTACTTAACCCCTAATCCCCACTCACCGCCCAGGGCCAGGCCCTCTCCTAGGTGACAATAAACTTATCTGATTAAACTCCATGAATGGGTTCAAGGCACAAAGGTGTTCTTACGGTTATTCTTCCTAGCTAACCAAGGGGCATTAACCAAGGAGTATTTCTATCTACCTATTATCTATCTATCTATCTATCTACCTATTATCTATCTATCTATCTACCTATTATCTATCTATCTATCTACCTCTTATCTATTTATCTATTGATTTTAGAGAGAGGAAGGGGGAGAGAGAAAAAAAACCACATTGATTTGTTGTTCCACTTATGCATTTATTGGTGCATTCTTGTATGTATCCTGACTGGAGATTGAACCTGTAAGCTTGGTGTATCAGGACAATGCTCTAACCAGCTGGCCTACCCGGCAAAGGCCTCCAAGGGGTATTGTAATGGGGTCTTTGAAAAACACAGCCTTAACACAATGCGTTCATCTATATCAGTGGTTCTCAACCTGTGGGTTGCGACCCCTTTGGGGGTAGAATGACCCTTTCACAGTGGTCGCCTAAGACCATCGGAAAACACATATATAATTACATATTGTTTTTGTGATTAATCACTATGCTTTAATTATGTTCAATTTGTAACAATGAAAAGACATACTGCATATCAGATATTTACATTATGATTCATAACAGTAGCAAAATTATAGTTATGAAGTAGCAATGAAAATAATTTTATGGTTGGGGGTCACCACAACATGAGGAATTGTATTAAAGGGTCGCGGCATTAGGAAGGTTGAGAGCCACTGATCTATATAAAAGAATTAGACAAAATTCTCATGTCCCTGTAGCGATGCTAGAAGGTGGCTCACGGGTGACATGAAGGAGATGAAATTTCAGATATTGAGCACAGGTGGGGGAAATATTTGAGGGTGGGCAAGGCCTTATGATACCTTTGTCTCACATCAATGAGGGCAACTGCCTCCCTATTACCTGTATTTATGGGGGCCTCCCTGAGAGAAGGGGACCTCCCACCTGATTGCATCTCCAGCTCCTTTTAGGGTGAGCTGAAATTGTAGCCCTAAGGGGAGATGGAGGCAAGGATTCAGGGGGAAACAGAATCTTATCCCTGTAAGCCTCACCTCCTGGCCACTCAGAGCACTAGAGCCCAGCTCTGCCTGTCTGTGTCTGATGCTGTCAGCTCTCCCCACCCTGCTGCCCCCAGTGTACACCCCAACACAGGCCCAGGGGAAGGAGACAGTAGAAAGGTGAGGGCAGAAGCCAATGGTGCTGCCTGGAGTTCAGGGTGAGGTCAACAAGGCTGGAAGGCTGCAGGAGACACTCTGAGCCAAGCAAGGTTAGCTGCATGCAGACACTCAGAGCACAGGGCCGAGACAGCTCCTCTGAGTGATTTCTCTTGATTGGGACTTTACTTCCTGTTTTTCCAGCTCTTGAAAGCAGCGGGGAGGGAGATGTGCAGGTGGGGAGGTGACACCCCACATTGGGGAAACTCATTACTGCGCTGTCGGCCGCCTTTACTTTCTGCCTTTTCCCAGAAAGAAATGGGCGAGATGAGGTCAGAATACCTGGGACAGGAGAAGACATGACTGGGGATGATCTTGGGAAGGCAGCAGGAGACAGGCTCCGTGTTGGGGCAGGCATTTTGGCTGGAGCAAGCAGAGCAGGCCTGGACCAAGGAGGAGAGTGGATGGAGATGGGACAGGACAATCCCTTGGGGTCTGTGCCAGAGAGGTGCCTGTCCTTGGGGAGGACGTGGTCCCTGAGTTAGGATGAGGCCATCTACTCACCCTGGCAACCTCGAACTACTCCACACCACAGAGCCCTCAGACCCAGGACAAGCTGATAAGCAGGATTCATCCGTGTCCCTAAAGCAGCTCTGGGACAGATCTTTCCAGGAAGCCTTTGGACTGGGTTAAGCTTCTCCCAGAGGCTTGGCAGTTTGGATCCATGTGGGGAGCCTGAATATACAGATACGGAGAGGCCTTTATAATGAAGGTGGCCGCGTGCCAGGGTGCATCCTCCCAATGCTGCCTGAGCCCAGCACCAGAGGAAGTGGGCTGAGCTGACAAAGGCAGGTTAGAGCACACACTGTGTAGCGCAAGCATGTCAGACTCGGGGCCTACTGGCCGCATGCAGCCCATAATGAATATTTTTGTGGGCCAGCCAATATAACGGTATGTAAGAAACGTTTTAATAAAAATTTTGTGACTTAATTTTTACTATATCCTATTATGCATAGTTATTAATAACAAACTACACTGTTCGCTAATGACTGAGTACTATAATCATGTTGCATTCATTTCCCTTTTGCGCCTTTACACACTGGGGCACCATTTCTCCCCACTAATACTAGCAGGGATTATTTTAGCAGCCAATGGCCACATCATTAGTCTTGGACTGACTTGTTTGGTGTGCGCAACAGGAAATATTTCGCTTTCGGAGAACAAGAAGAATAGGTTTATTTGCATTATACAATTATTCAGTGTCTGATAAGTTAATGTTCAAGAAAAAATATTAATTTTTATTAAAATGCTCTATTATTTTATGTTAATGATGACTCATTTACTTCAGCCCTTCGTATTCAGCATGTCTCTATCAAAATAAACCTAAGTTTCTATGAAAATTGAAGCTTTTGCTTTTTTGTGGCCCACATAAACTTAAACCTTGTTTATTTGGCCTGTGTTAGCCTTTGAGTTTGACATGCTTGGTGTAGCGGGTGGGACAAACTGACAGGCCGGGACTTCAGAATCTAAAATGCGGTTGGGGTTATTCTAGAGCAGATCTCCTGGGGCAAGGAGGATGAGGATATCTGAGATTCCTTCTTTTCAAACTTCTGAAAGATGTGAATTAATTACTAAAAAGAGGAGGTGAAGAGAGAGCAAGGCATTTGATGAATGTGTGGGAGGGAAAAGGAGAGAAGTGCCTGGAGAGGGTAGCAGAAAAGAAAGCTGGACCAAGAGGAAGTATTTCTTTCCCGTCCCTGCCTCCATCATTGTCCCAAGTCACGTATTTGTCTTCAGCTCTTGTCTGTGCTGTTGGTCAGATGCCAGAAGGGTGGGTACTGCTGGCGGGTTCTGTGTAGCAGAGAGAGGGAATGATCATGATCTAGCCTCCTGCCCACTTTTACTCTCTCAGTCTTACTTCCTGCCTGTGGCAGAAAATAGCCCTGTCCCTCCTGCTTATCTCAGCAAAGAGCAGTGCCCAGCCCAGCTCAGAGGACAATGGGACAGGTCTGAGAGGCCCTAAGGACACGAGGAAGGAGCCTGGGTCTGGAGGTGCACAGGGGAGGCTGAAGGACAGGGACACGGGGAGGAGGAAAGCGGCCACACGCTCTGGTGTGAGTGTGTGGTGGGCGGGTGATGTGGATGGCACAGCGCCTGGTGCCTCTATGTGTTTGGTGCTTTCTTTTCCCTTCAGTGCCTTGGTGCTGGAATCTGTTTGTGCACATCCGTGTAGGTATGTGCTCCTGAAGCTGCCTGACTCTGTCTGTTGGCGCAAGGGCACGGTCCCTGAGGCAGGGGCTGTGTCCGCCCTTCCTCCTGGGGCCCTCTGTCCATGCCTCCATGCATCTGTGAGTTAGAGGGCATGCAGCCACACTGAGGGACAGGTTACTAGAAATCTTATGTTACCACATCCATGTGTGTTTAGGCAGCTGAGCCTATACAGGCTTCCGTGCCATATCCCTCCTCCCCTGTGAAATGAAACCCCGTGTCCATTCTTTTCTGGGTTGGATGCTGTTTCTTTACTTCCAACGTGTCCCCTACAACCCAACCTCTGCCGCAAGGCAGGGATGGGGAGAGAGCCAGGCTGCCCCTTCCCCACATCTAGAACCCTCCTTCCGTTTCCTGCTTGCCTCCTTTTTGGCAGTGTTTTCCATGTTGTCATCTGGCCTGGCACTGTGCCCACTCAGCTCCACTGACGGGAGCCTCAGGGAAGCAGGCAGATGGGGTGGGGACCAGGGCAGGGGCCTGGCAGCTTTCAACGCTCAGCTCAGGCCATTCTGTGTAAGTCTGTCAGGAAGGCGTGACTTTTTGACAAATAGGTTCCACTCTAAAGAAACCCAAGGACACCCTTCTTTTGGAGCAAGAGCATTCGCATCAGTTTTGCTAAGGGCTTCCTAACTTTACCTTTAAATAGCAGCTCACGTAATACATTTTGGTCTGTTAAACAGCGTCAATGGAAAGACTTGCAATTTTTGTGAAATAATTAGTACTGATTGTCCAAGTAATGGTTAAGAATGATAAAGTGTTACAGTAATTATAGCGTGAACTGTTACTGAAATTTTAATGCAACCTGTTTCCAAACAGGCCTTTTAAGGGGCATGGTCTTTTACTAAGTGATTTATACATGTGGACAAGATAGCCAGAAATGTGATAATAAGAAGTGGTTACTTGTAAAAAAAAAAAAAAAGAAAAGAAAAGAAGAAGAAGTGGTTAGTTGTGGTTAGCTAACTGATTTGATATATGTTATAACAATTACAAAATAGTTAAACAATGGGGGAGGGGAGAGGGGCCTGCTAACTAGAGAGACTGAAGTGTGAGCAAACTTGGGAAGAAAAGCAGTGAAAGATGTGGTCCCATCCCAGGATCTGACCATCTAGTTGGGGAAATGGAACAAATAGACACAGAACAGCCTGATGAGTTCAAGGCAGCAAGCTAAGTGCTTAAGTAGGTGAGCGGGAATTGTAAGGAGGGGCTTATTTGTGTCTGTGAAAGACAGATGAGCCCATGTTACCAGTGTTTGAAGTGGGAGAAGAAGAAAGCAGATTACTTAAAAGTATATATTTCAATTAGACAAATGAGGAAGTAAAACCATATCTCTGTGGGCACAGATTTCACATCGGCATCTATAAAAGACCGGGAGCTCTATGCAGCGTCCATCCTCGTCTCTAACCACCCACTCTTATTGGAAGTAGCACCAAACAGCTTGGACTTGGAGCCAGGAAGTCCTGGTTTTGAATCCTGACTTCACTCCTCACGGAGCTCTTGAGCTGTTTCCTTGCCTGTAAAAATGAGGGTAAACACCGACCTCCAAGGGCTGTTGGAAGGATTAAATATTGTGCATATAAAATACCCCAGGATTTGGTGAACAATCAGTAAATGACAGCTATTTCACTCAACATTTGTTGACGAAGGTGCTGGCAATACAAAGATGAGTAAGTCACAGTCCATAGCCCTTCCCTCAAGGAGCTCACAGTCGAGTGGGAGGTGCAGATAAAGAACAGCTCATTACAGTATGGGCGGGCGGCGGGCGGGAACAGCTACTACAGACCTGCACACCGAGGGGAAGTGCCAGTGAGGGACCACAGAGGGGAAGTGCCAGCGAGGGACTACATTTGCCTCGTAGAGAGGGAATCAGGAAAGGCCGCACAGAGTCCTAAGAGATGACTGAGTTTGTCAGTTGGAGAAAGGGAGGAGGCTCATTCCAAGTTGAGGAAACAGCATGAAAACATAAGGTATGTGCAAAATGATTAGTTTGGTGTAGCTGGAGCAAAGGAGCATGGGAGACGGGGCATATGTCAGGAACAGAGCCTGGTTTTATTTGCTTTTCAGCTCCAGTTAGTGTTATTCTCCCTGTTGAAACAGGTCATCTGGAGAGGAAGTGTTTCTTCCTTTTTTTAAAAAAAAACAAAACTATTTTATTTATTTATTTACAATATACAAAGTAAAGTGGTCTCTATGCGGTCTCCAGTTTTGGTCCCCCCCCCCCCCCCCCCCCCCAGTGGGCATGGGGCAGAGGCCAGCGCTAAGGAGCAGCAAGCCAGCTTCTGGTAGAGCGGTGCTCCTCCCCTCCTCCTGCTCAGCCAGAAGCTGGGCTCACAGCTGGCGAGTCTCCTGCGAGTTCTTCGTTGATTACTCGGGAAGTTTTCCTGTATTTTAGTTGTAATACCAGTTTGTTCCTGGGAGCATGTCCATGCAGCATCCACTTACTCTGCCGCCTTTATTTAATCCTAGGAAGTGTTTCTTTATTCCCTTTAACTGTCCTACACCTCTCACAAGTCTTAAACTGCGGTTAGTAGTGGTTGGAGGGAGAACAAATGAACAAAAACCCACAAGAAAACTTGTTACAGTCAGGTTTACAATTTAGTTTCATGTAAGAATTCAAGCAGTTCCTTTTGAAAGGAGTAAGTCCAGTATCTTAGGATAATTGCTCATGGTGTCTGCACAACTTTGCTCCCTAAGATGGCATGTGGACACCCATATTCATAGCATTATTCACAATAGCCCACCGGTAGAAAAACCCAAGAAACCATCGACAGATGAATGAATAAACAAAGTGTGATATACATATATGTGAATATATTATTCGGCCATAACAAATGATGCAATTTGATACATACTACAGCATGGAGAGACCTTGAAAACTTTTGCTAAGTGAAATAAGCCAGGCACAAAGGAACAGATATTATATGACTCCACCCATGCGAGGTATCTGGAATGAGCAAATTCATAGAGACAGAGAGTAGAATAGAGGTTACCAGTGGCTGGAGGGCAGGGGTGGTGGTGGAATGGGCAGTTACTGTTTAATGGGTATAAAGTTGTTTGGGATGGTGAAAAGGTTCTGGTGATGGATACACAACATTGTGAATGTACTTAATGCCACTGAAGTGTACACTTCAAGATGGTTACAAGGGTAAATATTATGTATATTTCACCACAAACACACAAAATAGACGGCATCCGGGTAGCTTCTGTGGCCTCGTGGCATTAAGGAAGGTGGGATACTGAGACCATGTCCTGTCATCTGGCTACTCCACCCCTTAACTCTATGCTTTTTCGGCCAGCTGTTGCCTCTCTCCGGCAGTCTCATCAGTACCCATGGTACATTCTCACCTCACTGCCCTGCTCTCTGGTCTTAGGGTCCCTTTGGGTCTCTTACTATCAAACAACCATCTCCCCCTATCACAGAACCCCATCTGGGGATGTCCCTAGTCCAGCAGTTGCCAACCTTTCAGACCTCACGGATCACCAGTGGTCTGCGGACCTCCGGTTGGGGACCACTGCCTACTCAGATCCTCTAGGGGAAAGCTCAACCCACAGAGCCTTGCCCTGCCTGCAGGGCTGTGCGGGAGTGTGATCAGCCCAGGAGGACCCTGTTATATTATTATCATCCCCACTTTACAGATGAAGAAACGTGGACAGGTCAACTCAGGGGTAAACTCAGGGCACTCTGACCACAAGCCCAGCCCACACAGGAGCAACAGTGGGTGTGAGGAGTGAGGCTGGAATTTTGTACTGTACTTGGGAGCTTGAACTTTATTCTTTAGATAAAAGGGAACCAGGAGAACACCTGTTCCGGGGGAGGTGCTCCACAGCACTTGTCACCACCTGACGTGACACCTGTTTACTTGCACTTTATTACCTGCTTCTCTCTAGTGGAATGATAGTAAATTGGGGGCAAGGCCTTTTTGTTCACTGCTGTGAACATGTCTGTGAAAGTCTAAGCACTTTATATATATTGTCTTATTTAATCTAAAAACCTCATGACCCCCACTCCTCGACCCCCACTCCACCCCCAGATAAAGAAAATGAACTTCAGAGAGATTAAGTCATTTTTCTGACAACTAAAGTTAGGTGAACTGGCAAAACCAGGATTGAAACCCAGGCAGTCTTGCCCTAGCCGGTTTGGCTCAGCGGATGGAGCGTTGATCTGCAGACTCAAGGGTCCCAGGTTCGATTCTGGTCAAGGGCACAAGCCAGGTTGTGGGCTCGGTCCCCAGTGGGGGGCGTGCAGGAGGCAGCCAAGCAATGATTCCCTCCCATCATTGATGTTTCTATTTCTCTCTTCCTCTCTGAAATCAATAAAAATATATTTTGTTAAAAAAGAAAAAAACCCAGGTGGTCTGAACTGCTATACAGCCCTGCTGCAGAAAGCTACTCTGGCAGGACAGAAGGTGGGGCAAAGGCTTGAGGCTGAGAAAAGATTCAAGAGGCCAGCCAGTTTAGCTAGATAAACATCTGTGTCCTCCACCCTGGCCTTGCATAACGATGACTTCTGGTTTGCCTTCCTATTCCAGGACTCAGGATGATGAAGCCCTGACCAAAGGCACCCACCCCCTGGCAGCCATCTGCCCTGCAGCCATAGCCCACATTCTCAAGGCCTACCTCTGCTGGCTTTGGGACTGTCTCGATGCCGCCTGCAGGCCCTGTTCTGGAGATGACCGCCCTGTCGGGACCTTGGTGTGCCCCGTGATGCCCCGAGGCTCACTCCTCCGCACACTTTGGCAAGATGTTGGCCAACTCCTCAGCAAACACTTCTACCAACAGCTCGGATCTCCCGTGCCCTGACTACCGGACCACCCACCGCCTGCACATGGTGGTCTACAGCCTGGTGCTCCTCGCGGCGCTCCCGCTCAACGCGCTGGCCCTCTGGGTCTTCCTGCGCGCGCTGCGCGTGCACTCCGTGGTGAGCGTGTACATGTGCAACCTGGCGGCCAGCGACCTGCTCTTCACCCTGTCGCTGCCCGTGCGCCTGCCCTACTACGTGCTGCACCACTGGCCCTTCCCGGACCTCCTGTGCCAGACGGCGGGCGCCATCTTCCAGATGAACATGTACGGCAGCTGCATCTTCCTGACCCTCATCAACGTGGACCGCTACGCCGCCGTGGTGCACCCGCTGCGGCTGCGCCACCTGCGGCGGCCCCGCGTGGCGCGGCTGCTCTGCCTGGGCGTGTGGGCGCTCATCCTGGTGTTCGCCGTGCCCACGATGCTCGTGCACAAGCCCTCGTCCTGCAGCTACCGCGGCAAACAGGTGCGCCTGTG